AGATAGATTACCTTCTTTTCGAACCATGCCACTGTCAAGGATCTCGTCGATCAAGCTCCACCACAAGCATTCCTAAAAGCTCTTTCCACTACCAAATTTAACACCGAATCATCTCCATGCTTCTGTCAGGTCCCTTTACCCTCTCCGCTGCTACGCCATGATTAGCGGAAGTAGCCCATTCACCATCTTGCTGCCTGCTTGCAATGCCACGGACGAAGCCAAAGAAAACATCCATCCATGGTGTCATGCATAGGACTAAGATCTCCTACTAGATTCACCACAATCCCGAACATAAACTCCACCAAAGTACCTGCCACCTCCATTTCCCATATTGGCTAGAAGGTAGAGCCTCTTCGCCCTTTTTTATCAAACAATTGAATGGAGTCTGCCCACATTCAATACTTTAAGCGAATCAAACATAAAGTTGAACTAAACTAAAACTACTATACAATATGACTCAAATGTCAAATCTAAGAAATTAATGAAGGTATTAGGGTCTTAATATTTGGTTTAAGGCCTAAGGCTTCATTGACTTGGGAATAATTATTTCAATTAGAGATTTTTTTTCCACTTAAGGAAGTTTTATAAAAGCATTGAACCTTTTTGGTTGGTATAAATAAAAATATCAAACTTTTTGTCGAGTTAAACTACAACAATTACCGATGGAGCATCGATCCAATATCAAAGTGATAATTGATCTACGTTGAAGGTGCAGTGGCTCAGCCACGACCTTTGATGGGGTTCATCTCTGGTGAGGAAGGTTCAAGTCCCAAAATTATCATTTCCAGGTCCATAGAACAAATACTAAATTACTTATACTAGAGTAATAATTACTTGCACTAAAAAAATGGCAAAATGATAATTGGAGGTTTGGAGAAATCTCAAACTCTAATTCTCTAATTTTAAAATCAAGTTGAACAATAAGAGTTACTACCTTTGAAGCCTAATTTTTTTAATTATAGAGAGGATAAACTTAAGAATCTAGGATTAAAAATCTCAAATTTGAATCTTAACTCTTACATAATAATGAATTTATAATTTTACTTAAAAGAAGGGTTATAGAGTAATTAGTCAAACTATAGACAAGAAGACACTTCCCTCACTCATACCGTTAGGGTTTAAACCCTCATTTTCCTTCTCCACCTCTCTTCTCATGAGGGTTTCAATTAGTTGATTTGATCCGTCAAAAATGATTTTCCTTTTACATACTTCCTTTGATTTGTCTTAGTTGTCTTCTTTCTTTTTTTTTTCTTTTTTTTTTTTTGAACATAGGAGAATTTTTGGGGGAGGGGGGGATTAGAACCAAGGTCATAGCCTTGGAATATGCACACCCTATCCACTGCATCAAGTGCTGCGGGTGTGTGATTTGTCTTAGTTGTCTTACTTTAACTTTTGCATAAAATTTGAATTGATAATTTTATATAGCAAATAAATAATAATTGAATTTTTTTCAAAAAAAAAATACTTGTTGAGTATTTTCGCTTAAATAATTTTTTTTCAATTATTATTCTTTTATTACATAAAATTGTCAAGTTAATTAACAAAATTATAATCACTAAAAAGGATCAAAAGGAGTATATGTCTTTTTTTTTTTTTTTTTTTTTAAGGAAAGGAAACTGCTCTTATATATAGGTCAAGGAATTTCTCATATTATCTTCAACAGTTCAACTAATTAAAATGATTTAAATCAACTTGCCAGCATTTTGATCAAATTTTACTCTCATTTATAAAATACCTACAAATACAGGTTTTTTCCTTCTTTTTTTTTCCCCATTAAGAGGAAGTATAGCTCGAGAACCCCATGAGAGTGCAAGACAATATTTAGGGCAAAGGTATCCTGACTTTAATTATTGCTTGAATTTGGACAGGAACACATGAACAGCACAGAATTAGGCACCTGTCCTTAACTGTTTGGGACAAGGTTGGGACAAGCCTTAACCGCTCATATGGAAGACCATTGACCCCCAGTGGACGGCCACGGATGCATTGATTTGTCCCGTTGGAAAAAAAATCAGGGCCGTCCGATCGAATCATTGATGGATGCATCCCACGTGAATTGGGATGAAGACCACGTGAGCTGTTGTTGATGAGCAAGGCATGACCGGGCTTAGGGCTTTAATTTCGTGAACATTTTGGGCCCTTTTGCACATGCCTTATCCCAGAGAGTTCCTCTCCATTCATAAAATTAATACTCCTTCTGTCTAACTTCAATAGACATTATCTTTTATTTAGAATATTTAAATTTAGTTATTTATTTATTTTTAAAGATATTATTTAATATTTTTATTTTTATTTTATTCATATTTTAAAAGATAATTACAATATATATTAAATAAAAAGTTTTATTTTAGTATTACTTAATTAAAGATAAATATAAAATTTTATTAATAAATTATTACACCTCTATTTTGTTAGATAAAAAAAATAAATTTACTAACAATAAACAAAGAGACTTAAAATAATAAATAAATTAATTAAACAAAATAATTTCTTCATTTATTTATAGAGCTTATACACTCACAATTAGTATTATTTTTATCTAGTGAGAGGTAATTCTCTATGAATTTTTTAATTTTAACATAAATGGCTTGCCTTTGACCCAACAAGAGAGAAATTAGTTCTAATCTGAGCATAAATTAATCTGAAAATACTTTAACTTTTAAACCAAAAAAAATTATAATATATGCCCTGCAATGGTCACATATTAAAAGAGTAAATGCATATTAATTAATTATCCCACCAAATAAAAAGAATCAATCATAACTATTGCCACATAAAATGGTACTCTCTCCACTCAACTGAAGTAGACTTATTTTTTTCAATAAAAATTGGATATAATCATTAATTGATAAAATTTCATATTTATTTATAAATTAATCACTACTTATATAAATATTTATATTTAATATATGCTGTAATTATTTTTATTAAATAAGAGTGAAATAGAAATAAATAAATTAAATGATATTTTAAAAAATTAAATTTAAATACCTAAATTAAAAATCAAATCTGCTAATACTAAAATTAAATAGAATACTAATAAAGAAAATTGGTGGGGACTCATTTCCCATTTAATAATGTTAAGATGACCTTTAGGGTGTGGCTATGCCGCACAAAATTTTGTTAAGACTATATA